CCTAACAATACGGCCTCCATGATGCAACCTCACTAATTTATCCATCTACAGTCATCACACAACAAGTAGTGTCACATATCAATATATCATGCGAGTTTCAATCCAATAAGTAGAAACTAAAATATATCATTTCATCTTTTTCAACCCCAACAACATAATCATTTCTAGTCATAAAAAATTGAAATCTAATGACCAACAAATAACTAAAATACATACTAACCCTAATGACCAACAAATAACTAACCCTAATGACACCTACAATAAAACAAAGAACCCTAATGACCAAAATAACTAGAAACCAAACTAACCTAACATGTTCAGCACATAAAACAGTTAAACAACAATGCACTCAATCAACCTAAACCATACATTTTGCAAATGTAAATACACATATACCAAAACACCATACACCCATGATTCCACATGATTAGAGACAATACAAGCACATCTACGCGGATAGATTGGAGGAGGGGAGGGACCATTACCTCGAGGAAGCTTCGGGAGACGAGATCCGGACACCTAGGGTCGCATTTGGGGGTTAGGGTTTCGTGGGGGCCGTGGGGGGAGACGAACAGAGAGCCGGCGCTTTCAGAATGGAGGGAGGAAGAAGAAGGGGGCCGCGGCGCGGCTTCAAGAGTCCAGACCTCGGCGTTGAGTTGGGCCGCGCCGAGTCTGGTGGCTCGGCGTTAAGTGACCCCGCGCCGAGCTATTAGACCACGAAGCGTTGTTGGGCCGTCTGGGCCGCGCGCCAGATGGTGCCAATAGCTCGGCGTATAGTCCCACCGCGCCGAGGTTGGGCCTGTGGCGTTGGCTGACACAACGCCGACGTGTCGGACCCCATGCGCCACCGTGTCGCCGTCGACCGGGGTCGTCCGTGATGTGGCAAGACCTCGGCGTCGTGTCAGTCGACGCCGCCCTCATACCTTGGCGTCATGTTCTAAGACGCCTAAAAATGGTCTATTTTCAGCAAACGTTTTGGCATAGATCTTTTTATAAAAAATATTTTCAAAATGGATCAAAATACAAAAATTTCACGTTTGCTGCTTGCGTGCCTGTGTATTCTATCTACTATTCTGGTAGCCACATGCAGCCAGGTAAGGGGAAGTCTTCCGTTGACCGGGCCCTTTCCTCCTTTGACCGCCTCAGGCTCATCAAAGGCAGAGCTGCACGTGGTCCCAGGAAACTTTGGTTGTGTGGGTCCTAGCTGGTAAGTAGAGGGAATGATGAGGTCATGGTCCTTCCCCTACCTCTTGAGCACATTGGGTCATTGGTGGTACTGTGCATTTGTCATATTCAGCATGTGTCGATGGTCGATCCAAACCCAACCATAAACTACTTGTCTTTATATACTACAAAGTTCAGACAAATTTCGTCCACGTGTTTTGTACAGTACAATCATATGTGCAGTTTTACTGTGCAATAGGAAAATCCCTAGGGAACGAAATGCGTACGAATTCCAGGATGTAGCTGATGGTGTATGACTCTATGACGTTGAGCGTTGCCTGGGATAAATAATCCTAAGCGGCAGCATTCTTGACTTTGATAAAAGTGACATGCATACTTTGCATAGAGATGATGGCTGAAATGCAAAAGGCGCATGGCATATAGCTGTGTATAGATGTCATGCATGCACTCGTAGAGTACGCCTTTCTCAGGCTGTCAGGCATAGGCCATTTCTTTTCTTTCTTAGGAAATTATGCCGCTTTTGATACGCTAATTTTACATCGTGACGGATTCAAAAAGAGAACACCTGTGGTTACCACATAAACGAGAAATGGATTTGAGGCTACTCCAGGTGGCTCTGTTCACTTGAACTTATCAGTCGAGCTTATCAGTTAGAATCTACAGTATTTTTCTTTTACAACAAAACAGCTTCAGTCGGCTTATCAACCGACTCATGTATCAGCCGAACAGAGCCGACGGGATGGGGTTGCACTAGCACATGGTTCTGTCTCTGCTCCTATACTCTGCTCATGTGCCGTACAGTAGATACCTACGCACAGATGGTGGCGAGGAAGTTTCGGCTTGGCTGTGCTTGTTCATTGCTGGATCGTGAAGAAGTACTGCTCGCTAATTTGGTGTGAGAGAAAAATACTGTTTCGGCTGGAAATTTACGATCGTTTACGATCGTATAATCCCAGCCGAACAGTCTATTTACCGGCCTGTTCGGCTATGGCTGAAACGATCGTATACGATCGTGGATTATTACTGTTGACTGGTTTGGAGTGAGAGAAAATACTGTTCTGGCTGAAAATTTACGATCGTTTACGACCAAACGAAGAGGCTATGTACAGTCTACTGTATGCATGCGATGCGGCGACGTCGCCATCTTTTTCCATGGTGAGACGTCCGGTGCGTGCATTTTCTTTTCCTGGTCTGTGGTCTGGTCTCTCTCGCTCTTTACCATGCGATCATTCTTACGGAGTACGCAGAGGGCAGAGGCTTCAAAAGATGAGCACAATGAGAATGTTCTGTCCACTACTCTACGCGTTAATTATGTGACTTTACCTCCTTTTTTTTGTTACTGAAATCAAATGACTTTACTTGTGCCCCTGACCCTGGGCCAGCCCCCTCTCTACTCCGGCAAACAGTACTACAAGGCCAGCTCTCTTTTCCCTGCCATCCTTGGCCACTTTCAGCAACCAAAGAATATGTATTGGAGCAGCAGTGAATTACCGAGGCCTTATTTAAATCCAGGGGATAAAGTTTCAAGGTGTCACATTAGATGTTACGTGTGGGTGTCGTATGTGGTGTTTGATACTAATAAAAAAATAAATTATAGAATTCGTTAGAAATCCGCGAGACGAATTTATTAAGCATAATTAATCCGTCATTAGCACATGTGTTACTATAACACCATATTGTCAAATCATAACCTAATTAGACTTAAAAGATTTATCTCGTAAATTAGTCGCAAACTATATAATTAATTATTTTTTAGTTTATATTTAATGTTTTATATATATATATATGTCAAACGTTCAATGAGACATGGAGTAAACTTCAGACAAGGAAAAAGGCCTACACTGAAATACTGAACGCATCAATAACGGTAGTTGGGATGCCCGTGGTGCAGGGAACCAGAGGAGACCATGGACATGGACATATCAACAAAAACCCAGGTCCGGATGCTGCTGCTAGTGCGGCACAGTGGCTCACCCCATCACAGCCCCAGCATGAGCAGCCATCTCAGTCAGGCCCGATTTAGTTCCAAAAATTTTCACCTCAAAGTGTCACACGAATCTTACGGCACATGCATAGAATACTAAATATAGACGAAAAAAAACTAATTACATAGTTAGATGAGAAATCACGAGATGAAACTTTCGAACATAATTAGTCTATAATTAGACACTGATTACCAAATACAAACGAAAATGTACAATAGCTAAACCCAAAAATTTTCGTCAACTAAACGCGCCCTCACTCATCATTTCACTGGCCATGACCAGTGAGTCGCCACTGTCCTTTGTGCTTTGCTTTGCTTCGCTTCACTTTTGACCGAATCTTGACCACCCCCCCTCCAACCAATTCGTTGCTTCTGTTCTCACACAGTCACAGACTCACAGTTCTCTCGCTCCGGTCAGGGAGGCGTCAGCCAGCCTTCACCTCACTTCCTCAGCTCCTCGAAAAGTCAGATCGCTACGTACGTAACTTCCGTGCCGACAAAAGCGGTTCATATTTAACCAAATTTCTAATAAATACTATTTATATTTACTGCTCTAAATTAATTTATTATAAAAAATATATTTTATATTAATCTAATAATATTTATTTGATATCATAAATGTTGATATTTTTTATCTATAATTAATTAAATTTAAGATACTAAATTATGATACTATGCTAGAATCATATTTTTTTCTGGACAGAGGGTGTACAACTACTCCTGCTCCTAGTTCTACTTTGAGTAGTTGATGAAATCTCAAGTTTACTCAAGCCGGTAATGGGAAGCTAGTTTTTCCTTTGTCTCACTCATAGTTCATTTCTAAAAAATAGAGGAAAAAATACACCTTCTTAGTACAGTGTAGGATGTCCCTTAGAAGTCCGAACTGTTTTATAAAAAGAAACCTTTTCAAATGAGACCCAAATATTGTATATGAAAAAGGCATTAGTAGGTTATCAAATCTCAAATTTAACTAAATATTGTAAAAAATGCTAATATTTATTATATTAATAAATATTATTACATTAACCGCGTAACGTATTTTTATATGCTATTTTGAGATATAAACATTGATTTTTTTTTATAAATGTAGTTAAATTTGAAATTGATTGCCAGAAATATGACCATCCATGTCAAGTCAAAGATTTGAACTCCGGTGGATAGTTTCTAAAAAAAACCAACCAGCCAAACTACCGTGAAGTTAATATTTTTGGGAGAAATGGACAATCTGCAAACACACGGGCAATCACAAAAAAAAGATACAACCAAATAATCATCCATTCTAAAATAAGTGTACTTCTAGACTTTTTAAAAGGAATCAATGTTACTTAGAAATATTAAAAATCATTTCAGCATTTAATGATTGTAATTCGGAAATAGAGAAAGAAAAAAAATATTAGAACTAGGTGGACTATACTTAGAAGTGCATTTATTTTAGGATAAATTTGAAGTGCTAGAAGTGTATTTAATTTGGCACGTAGGGAGGGAGTACACACAAAAGAGAGAGATGACACATTTGGTTTTATATAAAAAGAAAAATAAGCAAGGTAAGGGGAAATGCCAAAAAGGAAAACGGAAAAGAAACAAGTGACTCCACCTGTCCACCCGCTTCCTCATAAGGGACGGAGGGAAGAAACGAGGCCGCAACTCCGCGCGAGCAACAGCCACCCACCCACCTCACGTTGCGACCTGCGCTGCGAGCTCCACCTCCGCCCGCCCGCGCGCGCCCACGCCCGGAATAGGCAGTGGCAGCAGCAGCCAGCCAGCCAGCTAGCCGCGCCCCGCCATCGTGGGAGGAGGCCCATGCCGCGGGGGCAGCAGGGGGCAGGGTAGAATGGGCAACGTCACGTCGTCGGTGGCGGCGCGGCTGGCCTTCTTCCCGCCGGAGCCGGCGACGTACGGCATCGAGGCCCAGGACGGCGCCGGCTCCCTGCTGCGGATGACGGGGGTGTCGCCGGACGCGGGCGTCGAGGTGCGCGCGCTGCCCACCAGGGCCGGCACGCGCGTCGTCTCCGCCTTCTGGCGCCACCCCGCCGCACGGCTCACGCTGCTCTACTCCCACGGCAACGCCGCCGACCTCGGCCAGATGCTCGGCCTCTTCCTCGAGCTCCGCGCGCACCTCCGCGTCAACATCATGAGGTCGGTGAGCTCACAAACATACGCCCCTCCATTGCTTCTGCTGCTCGATTGGTTCCTCTAAGATTTTTGTTTCCCCACTAATATTACTTCTACGCGAGTAGATTTGGATGCCTGTTTGTTGTTTGTACGCCATCCAATTACGAAGATACGTACATTTATTTTGATCAATGCAGGGCATGTTGGTTTTATTCCCATGGGGAGTTCAATTGGATTATCTTCTTTGTTTGCAACAAGTCAGCCAGTTGCTAACTGATTGTGAGGAGATCTGATTTTGTCCGTGTTATTGAACAATCGGTTCAATTGAATGAGTCATAAACAATCTATCTGTGAACTCATGTAGTCATGTGCTCTTGTTTAATTTTCCTTTTCCTGAATAGTTCGGTCAGAGCTGCAAGCCTGCAAAAGTACAGCTTTAGTGTCTCCGTTGTTTTCTGCATGGCAGTTATAAGCTGTCGTGATCTCCTTTACCACGAATCCGAGGCTAGAAAAACAAGTATTGCTTGGAGAAGGCATGTGGAATCCCATGTCTCATGAACAGTTCCAATTATTGTACTAGTACATCGTTTCACAAGTCTTTGTTCTGTTGCTGATGAATGCTGCACCGGGTCCTGGTGTACCTCTGCCGTTCTTGCCTGCAGAAATTTCAGTTAGTTACCGGCCATAACTCTGACACAAGATCAGAATTTGTTTGCTCGAATTGTGCCCTAATTATGTTGTATATATGCAAAACTGCGAATCAGGATCAATTTCGTGCCTCTTATCGGTGTGACTCTGTAAAAATTGGGAGTTGCAGAGTAAAGCAGAAGAGCACCATGTCCTTTCTTCTTGTTCTAGCCCATTGTTTCTGCCCAGCCAAATAAAACCACCAGGATATCTGCTAATTTTGCATCAAGTCCAAGTTTCACTGGCAGTTGGGTGTATAACTTTCTAGTGATCTAGTCAATACCTACTGTTTGACTTTAGGAACAGAAGTTTTTCCACACCAGAAAAGTTTCCATCTGGATTTGATTGAATGCCAACTTTTCTTTAGAACAATAGAAAAAACTATTATGTTGAATTACTTGCCGACATTTTCATTCAATAATTGTTAGTTTGTTACATTGACTAAAGCTGTTTCCTCTGTTTTCTTTTCAGCTATGATTATTCAGGCTATGGTGCCTCTACAGGAAAAGTAAGTCTCTAAAATCTCAAGTGATTTCAAGGGTAGAAATGTGGTTCTCTTGTTGCTTGAATTTGACGTTAAGTTGTCCCGGATTAAATTGTCAGTTTGTCTGGACGTATGGTCACCAATTATTTTTTCCCCTTGAACAATCACCAATTCCTTTTTCTCTTGAGATCAAGATGTCTCCTGTATATGATTGTGCCACATTGTTAGGGATGACTCCTACTAGCAACTGTTAGATTGGACTGTTCCCTATCCTTTTAGTGTAATCAATCCTACGTTCTTCAATAGATCTATGGGCACCCTTAGCCTCATCATGGTCAGGACTTTGGCAAATATCTGGTTAGCCTCTTTCAATTTTCACCTACACCATCAATAGTCCCCAAGGAAAGGGGGAACGGCTGACCATTGCTTTCTTGATCTAGACCATGGCACCTTTGTTCTGGTAGCCATACTTTTTACAAAGTTTTTAAACTAAGGGACCATCATATTAGGTAATCATGCCTACTCAAGAACTTGCTCGGACTCTGAACAATAATGTTGCATGTGTGCTTGTTCCCATAAGTAGCACATAGATTTATGAACTAACGAATACTTCGATTTAGAAAATAATAAATGATGGTAGGCACGTTCCTGTCTATGTACTGTGCACCTAGCTGTATCTGTTTTCCAGGTTGTATGTAATGCAGACTAACTGAGTTCCCTTTGTGGTCTAACACAGCCATCAGAGTACAACACATACAATGACATAGAGGCTGTTTATGATTGCTTAATAAAGGAGTATGGGATAGAAGAAGAGGATTTAATCCTGTATGGGCAATCGGTTGGAAGTGGACCAACATTGCATTTGGCCTCACGTTTGCAAAAGTTAAGAGGGGTTGTCCTTCATAGTGGTATACTCTCTGGCATACGGGTTCTGTATCCAGTGAAAGTGACACTTTGGTTCGACATCTTCAAGGTATGTTTCATGTTTGCACCATAATTCGATAATTCCCCTTCTGCTCCGGAACAGCGTTTACTTTGTTATCCAAATCTGGCTAACTTTCATATATTTTACAGAATATCGACAAAATAAAGCAGGTTGACTGCCCTGTGTTAGTCATACATGTGAGTGGGCTTTTAACTTCGTTTTCTTAATCTAAAGTCATCTAATTTTTTCCTTCACTGTGATTGCCTTGCTAATTTCTGTATTACTATTGTCGAGATGCATCATATACAAGTTTATGATTTTGTAACCTTTAAAACAAATTAGGAAAATCTGTAGCCACAAATATCTGACTAATCTGTCTCTCAGCAAGACCTCTAGCATTTCTTGTACGTATATTGGTGTGTCATGACTCTCGGGTCAGTCAGGAACTATATATGCATGCTAATCCTTCAGATTGATCTATGGCTAGACAACTTTGTGTAATCCTTCAGATTTTCTTTTTGACCTTTTCTGTCTCTTGACACTCTGTTTGTATCCTTGCACCATTTAACCTTAATAAATTTTCAGTAGGGGTTTCAACCCCTCCTGTTCCATAAAAAAACTATATATGCATGCCTCTATGATCCCTATTCTGAACCACGATCCATTCAATCCATTTCCCAAGTACTATATTTTCAAACGCGCGTTGCTGAACAATGACTCGTGCCTCATGCATGAACTAATTAACCAACGACCCAACAAGTCACGAGATCAAAAGTTGTCAGATTCTGAATTACCACCACCCAAGTAGTTTCTACTGTTTGTACTATCTTGATTGACTTTGTGAACCGTATATCCATATGGCAGGGCACAGCCGATGACATCGTGGACTTCAGTCACGGCAAGCGCCTGTGGGAGCTTGCCAAGGAGAAGTACGAGCCGCTGTGGATCAAAGGCGGTGGCCACTGCAACCTGGAGACGTACCCGGAGTACATCAGGCACCTGCGCAAGTTCATAAACGCCATGGAGAAGCTGGCCAAGGACAGCAAGGCGGCCCAGGCGCCGACGTCGTCGAGCATGGCGGGCGAAGTAAGACACACCAAGTGCTTGAGATTCGGGAAGAGATGAGGTCTCGGCCGTCTTTAGCCGTGTATGCCCACGCATTGCTGCTGCTCGTGTCGGGTGCAAGTCGAAGCGATAGCACAAGTCGTCAATGAGGAAGGCAGGCAGGCGGATGGATGCTGGATGGGGTTTCCTGTTGAGTTTTACGTGCTCTGCAGATGCCGACGACCTGGGAAGGAAATGCAGTCCAGCAGCAGCAGCAGCAGCAAGTCAGCAACCCCTAGTTCATGTATGGTGCGTGTGAGTTGAGTACAGAGTAGACAGACAGACCTGTGGCTGCTGCAGTGTTCTGGAGATGAGGAGATGCCTTTGTTTTCCTAGTGGACGCCACGGATTAGCCTGTTTGTAGCTCAATTTTTTCTTGTTCTTTTTTGTTTTCGCTACCTGTATTGTAGTCACTGTTCAAAAGAATTCGTTCTGATTGTTGCAACAAAGTGAAGTGCGCTATGACTTGTGAGGGAGTCTGTGGGCTGACGAGTGACGACCATCATGGATTCATGTCCAAGTCCTTGCCCCTCGGTTTGAGTACGTAGGCTGCAGTCAGAGACGGGCTGTGCTGAGGCGAGTTTTGACCCAGAAAGCTAGCCCGGTTGCGTCCTGACCCCATCTCGCGCGCGCCCGCGGGCCGTGATGAAAGAAAGCGTCGTTGGGCTGCCATGGTCGGGCCATGCACTCGCGCCGCTGGGCCGGGGGACCTGGTTCGCCCTCGCCCGGCCTTTCTGGATCTGGAGCTAGGTACCAGGTAGGTAGGTGACAAAACTCTCCCAGTAGTACTCGATCTAGTTAACAACTGTGCATTCACTTAATTCTGGGCTTCTGGCATGTGTGATGCATCTAAGAAATGGAGTACGGAGTATATATGCATGCAGTGTCTGTGTACGTACTACGTAGTACACTCGTAGCCTTCATGCGTGATGACGATGATATGTATATGAGTGTGTGTGATATATATATATATATATACACACACTTACTGTGATATGCATGCACTACTAAAAAAGCATTTTTAGGGGCGGTTGGTAACCCTTTGTAGGGGCGATTTGGCCAGCCGCCTCTATCGAACCGTCTCTACAAATCATGTATTTGTAGGGGCGGTTCCCAGGCCGTCCCTACAAATCGATTTGTAGGGGCGGTTGGTGATTGAACCGCCCCTACAAATCGATTTGTAGGGGCGCCCCTACAAATCTATTTATAGGGGCGGCTCAATCACTAGCTGCCCCTACAAATCAATTTGTAGGGGCGGCTGTAGTGCCAGTCGCCTCTATAATACCTGTTTGTAGGGGCGGTTCAATCTAGAACCGCCTCTACAGTACGCTTTCCCGTAAAAAAAATTCAAATTTACAATTCAAATTCGACCAGAACTGTTTGTTTCCGCGTATTCCATCCAGCGTTCGCGTTGCCGAACGCCCCGCGACCAACGTTCCGAACCGCGTTCGCGTTGCCGAACGCTCCGCGACCAACGTTCCGAACGCGACTACAAGCACAATAGTATTATATAAACTACAATTACAAGTCCAATTCGTAAGGATATATACAATCCATCATTTAATATACAAATTCCATACATATTGTTATCAACGTCCTAGAGCTAGTCTTTCAGTTTCACGAAGGTGTTGGTACTGAGGATTTCTACCTAAGTCAGACTCTCGGTCATGGTAGGCGCCTTTGACGTGTACAATCTGGTCCAATATTAAGTTGCAAAGGTCGCCGACGAGCTCTAAGAGTTCGTCATCCTTGTATGGGTCTCTTTTCATTTCTTTCTCTTCTCTCCACTACAAGAGAACAAGTTTCGGTTTAGTATTTCATACCATGTACGAAGTTTTTATACTACTGATGAAGAGGTTCAAACTTATCCTTAAGGGGTGTCTCCTGTAGGCACTGGTGATACTCATCATAGAATATATATAGTATCCACAATGTACACTCCCAGGCCTCTGCTTGGGGCACTGTGTTTTGCATATGAAAATGTTAGGTAATGCTTTTGACAGCCATGTAACGGAGTACTGAAGAAGTAAGTTACACTTACCGCACATAGTGTTTTTATAGCCAGCTTTTCCTTCATTGCTGCATCATGCCTTCTGTGATGATGAGTGACATAGAACCTAAATGCCCTATTCGAATTATTTTAGCAAATACAACTTGTTAGTATCCATAAGTGAACGTTACAAGTATGTATACAAACATATAAGCTAATGAGGATTGTCGATATGTATACGTCTTGAGAATCGATATGAAGCCTTTGTATGTCGCCGGGTCCATATCTATTGAATCAAAGACTCATGCCATGCTCCCCCCGACATCGACGGCTATACAAATCCAGTATACGTAACGGTAATGGCAGTTGAGGAAACAAATAATAAAATTGATGGCAGATAAGAAAAGCTGTTATTTTTTATGGCAATAAGGAAAGAAGTATAGATTTTGATGGCAATGAGCAAATTTTCTCAAGTAAAAAAGGGCAGAGTCGCGCGCGTGGTCACCAGGCTCGCAGCTATGTGCTGCTTCAGTGCTTCTTCTACCTCCTGAAGTTACAGGGCACTTAATAATTAATTAACTATAAATCCGTACTGTGGTTTTATTAGGTCCACTCTTCAGCAGGCGGCAGGAATATACGCGTCTTGCAGAAATTAATGATTAGACCGATCTGATGAGTTGCCTTAGTTTAATTTATTAAGTTTGTTGTTTAATTAATTAGTACCCCCTTTGTCCAAAAAATATATATAATTATAACTCTGTTTTAGTCGAATGACTTGAGTTTGACAAGTTTATAAAAAAAATGCTAATATTCATGATACCAATAATAAGTATAATTCATGGAATATTTCATAAATGTTAGTTGAAACTATTTTTTATAATTAAACTGAACTAAATATAAACATTCTAACTTAGACCAAATCTAAAATTACATCCCTTTTTTAGATATAGAGGTAATATACTACACACATTATACCAATAAACATCTAGAGGACCAATCTTTAAATTCTTCTGTCATCTGTATTTATGACTAAGTACGTGCAGTATAGCAAAGCATTTATGCTGCTCGATGAATCTTAGTGTTCATTGGCTACTTCGCATCTAGTGTTTTTATTAAGATGCATGCAAATGTGTGTGTGCCCTACCGCTAATTGCACTGAGGACAAAAAGGACATGCATGGAGATGGACCGGATCGTCTATCGTCGAGCGAGGGCTCTGTGGTAGTGCCAAAGGAAGGGACGAACTGCTGCATGGTTGTCCTACTCCTACTGATCTCTGTCAACCGAGGAGAGTACTACTACGTGCATGTAGTGGCGCAATAATTATAATGCTTCATTACGCGATCACGTGGGGGTTCTTGCTCCGATCCAAAATTAAACGTCGTACGTAATAATAAGGCAATCACGTCGACGGGCCACATGTTGAGTGATGTCACACACTATATCTCTAGACAAATTAATTTCGCATTAACACACATTGTGTACTGCTTGTAGTGAGTACTCTCACAAATCCATGTTTTCGACCAACTGATGATCTATCCTCGAATTAAACACTACTAATCTATCTATCTATCTATCTATCTATCTATCTATCTATCTATCTATCTACTTTGTTCGGTCCGATTTAGTTTATATGGCGTGAAGGGTAGAAAAACGAATACTAAGAGTCGTCCAAGACACTTGCATGCTGCATGGATCCATATAGTACCAAGGCGTATCAATTTTTTTCATTTATGCTTCAATATAGAGCGTTCCGCCATCAGTACCTAGGTAGATCATTACTTGTACAAGACCCATGCATGATTTTTTGGTGGTTATTAGCCTAGCCACGGCCAATCAACAAGCAAGTTCATGCATAGCTCTTGAGGTGATGAGCCTGCTACACCACTACAAATGGAGCATGCACAACGACCAAACAAATGCAGGTTTGACATATATAGCTAGATTAAACTCCTACACGCAGCGTTGTGTTTGTGTCATTGTGTGTTGGCGCCTAGCACCTCGCCATGGCATGCCAGTGTTTGTACTCGAAAACTTCTTCTTAATGAAATACGTGCAGCGCACGTTCTAAAAAAAACTCCTACGCGCCTAACAAAAGAACGAGGGAGTAATTTTCGATTGTTCGATCAAACCTGCATTTGATACAGTATCGGTAGTGGTCCTTTTTTTTGGGTGCATACATGCATGCTCGTCGGCCCTCGACGACAAGCAACTAAGAGCAACTCCTACATAATTTAAATCTAACATGCAAATGTTATTTTTAGCTAAAGCTCTAGAAAAATGGCCTCTAAGAGACTAGCCAACATAATTGCTATTGCATTTGACATACTATCATGTGAGCCTCGGTAGCTAAATTTGGCTAGCCAACATGCCTTGCTATCTTAGTGTATGTGAGGCTGACTGTTAGTGCCATGTTTGCGTTGCCCCAAACTCCATTCTTTTTTCTTGGAGATATGGCCAGTCTGTTGGAATGTGTTGAATTATGGAGAAAGATTTTTTAGGAAGTCGATAGCTAAATGAAAATATGGAACATGAAATTTAGAACGTCTCTCGGAGATGCTCTAAATGCAGCAAACGCATGAAAATCTTGCTACCAATGGACTGACTGATAACTACCCTAGTACTGTTATCTGGGGCCACCCAGGGTACATATATCCATAAAGCTAATCAGCGCGCTCGGCTGGTACACTGCGCAGTAGATTTTGGCTGGTTTGGGATGATTAAATAGTATTTTGTGAAAGAGAATAAGCTGAAACAAGCTCGAACAAGCCAGCAGTAGACCAGCCGAACGCGGTGAATGGAGCCAACACAAATGTAATTCATTCCGCTGTTGGGTTGGGCCACAGTCCACAGCAGGATCATCAGTTTAATACCGCTACTGTAGCCCATTTAATTTGAAGGATTGTTTAATGTTGTAGCTACTAGTAGTGACTCGATCAACAGTTGGGAAATAAATACAACTCATACGGCCGGGTTGCGCTCATAAGTCATAATTAAGCTAAGCATGGACATGGAACGAATGTTTTGTCTAATTTGTTCGTCCTCAATTTACTGCAAATTACTAAGAAAAGATGGTGCATTTATTCAGATTAATGAAGTACGCAGGATTTAGGTTATATATAGGATCACTTAGTAGAACTAAAGTTTATGTGAATAAAGTTTTAGTCCAGTGCTGCTTGAATCCATGGATTAAAAGCAAGTAGCTTTTATGGACAGAGACTCATACGTTACGCGCTTTTTAGTCTATGTT